ACTGGTAATAGCGTCAAAATGTTCATCGTGATGATAGACGTGAATGTATTTTCCGTCTTTGAAATCTTTGCCTCGAAACAACAGAGGTCCGCGCACTTCTTGAGGGTGCACTTTTAAGGTGTAACGTGGAGCCAAGACGTCTTGCAACTTTTGCATTTCAGGAATGCCACAGGGTGTATCTTTAGGTAGCCCCGCTCACTGTAACAGAAGTTCTGCCTCTCTTTGTTGTTTTGCTCGGTCCGATCGTTGAATAGTTTTCCAGGCTCTTTTACATTCTGTCGTATTGTTCTTGTCAGCATACGTTCGTCCCACTACGATGGCACGAGATAAACACATCTTGTCTTGAGGGTTGTTAATTTGGACGAGGCTCTTTTTTATGCTGCGAAGGTTGTCTACCAATAACACTTTTTTGCCATGTCCTGTCCCTTGGGGAAGAGAAACATGAGTCATGAACAGTGTCGCTTTTCCGTCGGTGATGTGAAACTTGTCGTTGGATTGCTGCACGTGTTGAATCTTGTCGATGATTTTGGAAGGTGTCAATTCTGATCGACTGCTAAACTCGATACATATGGGAGACTTCAAACTGTCGTGATGAATGGAAAGTCTCAAGCGATCGTCTTCTTTGGCTTGACATTGCTGTTTTAGTGTGGCTAACAAAGAATTCCACACATCGGTGATGAACTCTTCTGCTTTCTCCATTGGTACGTCGGACTTGAAATCTTTAAACTTCACCCGGTATGTGTAGGCCGTGGTTCTAAATTTTCTAGAGGAACGTTTGTCCGTTTCTCGAATGTGGTAATATTTTTCGGGTGATACTGGAGGCCTTTGGTTTGGAATAGACTCCCTCGGTCTGGTCGCAGACGGTGTGACTTATCGCCTCACACGCGAAATGAAGTGTTCGCTCAAATCGAAGACATGAGCGAACCTGAACCAACACCTTCCACGTCTTAATAATAAAAAGAACAATAAGAAATAACAAGAAATAAGAAACAATAAGAAAAGTCTATTGTATGGGTACAAAACATTTATTCAATTATATACATGGGCTCTCGGTGTTGATTTCCCCATTCACTCCATGTTAAATTTCCCATGTTAAATTCTCCTTGTCGCCAAAGTATCCCAGGGGTGTTTGTAATGTATTTTTCAAATTGTCGCTAACCTATCCCCCTATACTACTTACATACATACATACATACATACATACATACATACATACATACATACATACATACATACATACATACATACATACATACATACATACATACATGCATGCATGCATGCATGCATGCATGCAGGCAGGCAGGCAGGCAGGCAGGCAGAAAGGAAGGCAGGCAGGCATCCATCCATCCATCCATCCATCCATCCATCCAACCTTCCATCCATCCATCCATCCATCCATCCATCCATCCATCCATCCATCCATCCATCCATCCATACATACATACATACATACATACATACATACATACATGCATCCATGCATGCATGCATGCATGCATCCATGCAGGCAGGCAGGCAGGCAGGCAGGCATCCATCCATCCATCCAACCATCCATCCATCCATCCATCCATCCATCCATCTATCCATCCATTTATCCATACATACATACATACATACATACATACATACATACATACATACATACATACATACATACATACATACATACATACATACATACATACATACATACATACATACATTCATGCATACATACATACATACATACATACATACATACATACATACATACATACATACATACATACATACATACATACATACATACATACATACATACATACAGACAGACAGACAGACAGACAGACAGACAGACTCCGAAAACACACAGTCACTCATTTACTTACTAAAGTGTTCAAGTTACTGTTTGCTCAGAACATGCTGTCAGTTTTTCATTCAATGTGCATCGTGCATATCATTCCCTCTAAACATCATGTATTATGTACTTATTTGAACTTTCATTGCCTCCCTTGGGATGCGAATAGCCATTTGCTGTCTGGTAGACCTATTATTCCGATATTGCCAATGATGGGTATCTGGATCAACAATGTGATGATTGTATTTGACTCTACAAATTGTGAAATGTGATATTAATGCAATAATAAAACTACGAGTGTTCCATGGAGTAAAGAAATAACATGTCTCTGGAAAATATATCAGCTTTTATAGAGATCTCGTACGAACATTTGTCTCATACATTCGTGTTTCTCAGAGGCTTTCATGGATACGAATTTCATAATATGTACCAGTAAATAAAAACGTTATTCAAACGATGAGAAATAACTCTCTGGGTAGTGCTATCCTTCTGGAAGATGGTCTTATCAGTCAGGACAGGTTATCGAACACGGTATTTGCTCAGATGGTAAGTTGAATACATTTACAAACTTTAGGGATGAAGCGTCTAGACCGTCTATTTTAATACAGTTTATGCAGGCTCTGCAATATCTACATGACGATTTTTGGAGCAGGTAGAAGT